AGAGCGGTCTTTCCCAACATTTTCTTGGCTGATGAAGGAATTTCACTCTTTATATTCCTGAAATTTGGTGACTTAGCATCGGGAAAGAACCATCTTTTCCCTGTCTTTTGACAGTTAGCAGGGTGGACCCAAAAGGTAGGTCTTTTGACACTGTTAGTAGGCATGACCCAAAAGGCAAGGAGTGTTAGTCACAGATCTGATGACTGTTTGAAAGTAAGTCTGGATAAAAGATTGAGCACTCTTTTTCTCCTGTCTTTTCCCATCTGAGAAGCTTTCTTACTAACATTCCAGAAGCACCTGTCTAGAGAATTAGAAAATGAATCCCTGGTGCACTTTTTAGCACCTTTAGCAAAACTTAAAATATTATTTTCTTACTAGAAAAAAATAGACTACAGTGGTAGTGTCAGGACTGGTAGAACTGGTTATTGCTGGACAACAGAATGGGAACCCCACATCCCTCATCCCTGACTCAGTAACTATATTCCTCCACTTTCTTTCTCTGATCTTTAATAGTCTCAATCTCCACTATTATTTCTCATCTCCCATTCTAAATCTGTATCCCATTTGGTCCTCTCCAACACCTCCATCTTTTCTTCCCAACTCCCTTTGCTTTAATTCTATCCCATTTCTGTCTGCTTCTCATATTTTATCTAATTTTTTCAAACTCTGTACCTCTAGTCTTATTTTGCTTCCCACTTGTTTTGCATCTCATAAAGAAGCCAAGTCACAGGTGCAGTTCGAAGAAAATTTTTAGGGAAAATGAATCAGGACATACTGGTAACACAAGAGAGTTACAGGCAATGGGTGATTAATCCTAAAAGGGAGGCTGTAATAAAGAAACAACTAAATAATAACTGGACTAACTGTTGATAAAGAGCAAGCAAGATGAAATAATGCTTGAGGTCAGTCACACTTCCTTACTGTGTGAAATTCAGGGTGCGGCATCACCACAGGACTTGCATCCATAGTTATAGGTGTCTTAGCCAGGAGGTTTGGGGACTAAAAGTAAGAATTTAGAGAGGAATTTCATGTTGAGTAATCTGGGATTTTTTAAAAATACTTAAATAATATTCAGATTATAAATCCTTATCTCGAGTCATTCTCCCTGGAATATGAACCTGTAAGCACTCACAGATTTCTGGGTTTCACCTCTAACCAGAAAAGGAAGGACACAATGATTGAGCTTGTCATTTGTCAAGTGGGCTGGCTTGGCAAAAACCCATTGCCTATAATTGGGTAGGGCTTCCTTCAGAAATAATAAATTATTACCACCTACGAAAAGTCCATGCTCAGGGAGATAGAAGTAGCTCTGGATTATTTGACTTAGTTCATGATTCTAGAGATTTTTTTTTTCCTTTGGTCCAAAAAAGGCAGAGAGAAGAAGGAACGCTTGAGACATTCTCAAGTCAGTAAACGCCTTCCCATGAGTACTCTCCAGAGAGCACTCTGCACATCAGGATTCCTGAGGCTATAGATGATTGGATTCAGCATAGGGTTGATGACAGTGTTAAAAATTCCAACAGCTTTATCTTTATCTGAGAGCTTGGTAGAACCTAGTCGCATGTAGTTAAAGATACCTGAACCATAGAATATAACAACCACAGTGAGGTGGGAGGTACATGTGGAAAAGGCTTTCTTCCTGCCCTCAGCAGAACGGATTCGTAGAACCGCAGCTGCCACGTGGGCATAGGAGATGACAATAAGAGCCATTGGACTACCTGCCATTATGAAACCCACAGCAAAGAGCAGAAGCTCATTAAGTTGGGTACTGGAACAGGAGAGCTTGAAGAGCTGTGGGAGGTCACAGTAGAAGTGATTGATCACGTTGGGGCCACAGAAGTTGAGTGTGGATATGGCTACAGTATGGGTCAGTGCATTGGCGAAGGCACAAACCCAGGACACAGCCACCAATATTTTCTGCACTGTCTGACTCATGCGGGTGCTGTAAGTGAGGGGCCTGCAGATGGCCAGGAATCGGTCATAAGCCATGGCTGTCAGCAAGAAGCAGTCCACACCAACCAGCAGATGGAAGAAGAAAAGCTGAGTAAGGCAGGCTTTATAGGGGACTGTTCGCTTGTGGGACAAGAGACGACTCAACATTGAGGGAATAGTGACACTGATGCACCCAACATCCATCACTGATAGATTCCCTAGGAAGAAGTACATGGGAGTGTGGAGTTTGGACTCCACCAAGATGGCTGCCAGGATGCTGAGGTTCCCCCCAACTGTGACCAGGTAGGCCAAGAGGAAGAGGACAAAGACAACTGGTTGCAACTCTGGTGTTTCCACCAATCCCAGAAGGACGAACTCAGTAATGGTTGTTCCATTGAACCCAAAGTTTGGCTGCATGAGTTCCTGCAAGGAAGAATCCAAAGAGGAAAGATATAAGTCTTTCCAGTTAATTTAAGAAATAAACTTCCTACATGTCCTGCTCTCTGCTAAATTCCCTCTGTTCAAGGAAGGACTTCTCTGTTTCCTAGGCCACACTACATTTACTAACTCTCTCATTCTCTACCTTAATACCTTTATTTTATTTCCAATAATAGGCAGTATTACCACTCTGAACCTTCCTCTCTCTAGTAGCTGAAAGAACCTATTTGTAGATATTATGAAGAACAAAAGCTTTGGGAAAAATACATAAGAGAAAGGTATATTTCTGGCTTGAACATGACAGAGTAAATCTAGAAGTTTCTCATAACTCATCTCTTCTCAAAACAAGTAGATATCCGAGACTCATTTTGCAAATGTTCTAGAATCATTAGCAAATTAATATCACGAAATAGAAAAATTAAGTTTATATATTGGGAAAAAACAACAAAGGCTATTGGATTGTCTATGAGAAAAGAACTATTAAAACAATAGTAATAAGATAAAAAAAATTCTAATTTCCTTATATATCATCAGTGTATATTAATGGGAAGCATAAAGTATACATTCAAAAACATATTTTTATAAAAGTAAAATTCTTATGATATAATTTTACATGATTAAAGTAGGATGCAGGGTTACACAACATAATTTTGTATTAACCAACACTTATTCACTCATGCACAGAAACAAGACTAGACCAGAAACAAACTTGTTTCAGTGATCTGAGTACTAATACAGGTGATTTTTATTATCTTCCTTCTGTTCTCTGCCTTCCAAAATGTCTATAAATTACTGTAATACTAATTATTTTTTGTAATATTTCATATCATCTAGGGCTGATCATGACACCTACTAGACCCCAAATCACAATTAAACTAACTGAACAAAAGAGAAATCAGAAGTTCCTTCCACTATGATTTCCACTATTTTGGCTAATCCATTATCTTTTATTTAAATTTTCCTGTGGAATTCCCTGATCATACAGCTAACAGTTACATTTCCCCTGAACTAGAAATGGCATACTGTTCTAAGTGCTTCTCATGTATTATCTTATTTATTTCTCCCAACCTGCCTAGGGGATGAGCATTATTTTTAATCCCATTTAACAGAAAGAAGAACATGAGTCACACAGAGCAAAAGACAAAGGTAAGGTTTTAATCCAGATAGTTTGAGTCCAGAACCTCTGCCCTTAACCATTACATGTACTACCATTCTAGCTAACTCAAGGCATTTAGAAGATCATAAAGCCATGCCCTTCTAAAATTCTCTCTCAGTCTGTGACCTGGTTTTATGACTCCACGATCCACTCCCACAGTTTCGATAGCTGTACCTTATAGATCCCAGAGTCTCACTTTGTAGGCTGCAGTAGCTCGAACCCAAGCCAGCACCTTGAGTGGATCATGACCAGTGAGCAGCTGCGCCTGATTTCCCCTTTATTTTAACCCATGTCATCAGATTGCAAATGCTGTGATTTCCTATATCCCCACTTTGCTAATACTGTATTCTCTATATAGAGTGTCCTTTTAATGTCACACACAGTCTTCAAGACTCAGCTCAAATGCTACCTCCTCCAGAAATCCTCATCTCAATCTGTGCCCACTTTAAAGTATTTTTGTCTTCAACATTCCCAAGGCACTTTAATTGTATTCCAAACCCTATTTAAACTAGCACCTCAGGTTCAACTTAAGGACAAGGTTTATGTATGATTCATCTTTAGGAATTTTATACATAAACCCATTGTATTAATGTGCCATTTCATAAATAAGCAAATGACTACACGGGCTGACAAATTAGATTTCTGACAAAAAGATATCATCGTGATCAATAGTAATGAAGAAAGAGTTTCTGGATAAGTTGAAATTTGTGCCAGACTTTCAAAGATTGGTATGATTTAGAAGAGGTAAAGAGTAAAATGAAAGGCACAAGACTACTGGTGTAGGAATGACTCCTCTCTTTGTTTAGAGAGCATGAAGTTGTAGTCATCCACACACTAATATATAGCCTTTTAATAAATACTCCTTAGAAACAAGTAATTCATGCCCAGAATGATATGCTCTCCTAGTAACTGCTGTCTAGCCCTCAGTCAACAAGAGACAAAGCTTACACAGTCTTCTAAATTCTGAATTGCCTACTAGACTATCCATTCAGGATGTCTGTGGCTGACGGGATCACAAGAGTGACTATTGACAAGGAAGCCTTTCTAGATAACCATGCTGGGAAGTCCGTACGAGTCCCAGACTGCCTTTGGTATGCTGTGACCTCTCCCTGATCTGATGCTCCGTTCCAGCAGGTCCTATTTAGGCTGTCCTGTAAGGACTGGGTTCTGGACAGGGAACTTCAACATTGAATCTTCTTCCACCCACCTCTAAAGAAGAAAATTGTAGAACTGCCTGGAGAAAAAGCCTCAATCCCTGGATGATAGTCTCAGCTCTTCTCACTTGACATGACACATGTGCAAATCTCTAAGAGACTTGGCTTTTGAGACTTCGAATGCCACACCTGTAAAGCCAGGAGGTGTGACTCACTGAATAACAGTGCAAGTTCCATCCCTGTAATATGGGAACAAAGAGAGGGTCATGAAAGAACTCACCTTGTTATGGCACAGAGGTTAGTGACGTTTCTGGGAAAGAGATACTAAGGGAATAAGAAGCTGCCCCAAGTCAATCAGTTACCACTAAAGCAAGTAAGTGACTATAAATATGCAGATAAATTAAAGAGAGGCTGAGACCACCTCTATCATGGGGCTTTTCTAGCATAGTGCTAACCTCTTGGGACTTGAAATTAGTCCCAAGAAGAGGGAGGAGGTAAACAATCAAGCCCTAGTACATACTGCAGTGAAGCAGTGGGGCCTCTTGCCTCTGTGGTGATTTAAATTTTCTCGAATGTATTCATCTCCATTCCTAATATTAAACTACAGAGAAACTAGGGAAGATGGCATAATAATTCTGTTTAACAGATGGGGATGTAGAGAAGCTGTCTGCTTTCCCAAAGTTACTCATGGAATCAGAGTTAGAGTCAGGACTGAGCTGGGTTCTCAGATTGAAGGTTTTGTTCTCCTAGGCACTTAGCACCTGCTCAGGATAGGCAGATTCCTAAGCCTGAGGATGAGAGGGAAATCCAAGAAAGAAAGCAGAGATGGGCGAAGTCCTTTCCAACTTCAAGTGCTTAATGAATCCTCAAGAACGAAGTGCATTGCCACCCAGGGTCTTGTTAGCAAAGGCCATAGGTACTATGTCTTGGGAGCCCCACAGTGATCCTGAGAAAAGTGGTAGAATCTCTCTGTTGTGCTAGGAAAAGCTGTGTTGTATGGTGGTAGGGAGCTGTGAAGTTGCCCACTACTATGATTTTCTGGGCCAGACTCTTAGAAATTAAGTCTGGTAGTAGAGATGATGAAAGAGAGGAAATTGAAGAAGTTGTGTGTTGCAACCCTCAGGCTCTAAGCCCTCCTCAGAAAATTGATTATCCACCTAACCTTATGTAATCACATATTTTCTGTGGGAAGGCTGCTGGACTTGGTGGATGGATAGACTTGTTTTTCCATTTATTGACAACAACTGCCAAACCACCTTGAGCTTCAGTTTCCTCACTTGTGAAATGAGAGGAATGTCCCCTCTTAAGGTAGCATGGAGGATTAAGTGAAGTAATATAAATAAAGTTCCTAATAGTGGACAACCAATAATGCTGTTAACCTGATAATAACTGATAACGTTTTTCATGTACTTTTTACACAAGACATGAGCTTTATGTACTTTAAATCCCAATCAACTCTACACCAATTTTAAGAGGTGGGTATCTTTGTTATCCCTATTTTATAGATAATTAAATTGAGGTTCAAAGTGATTCAGCAATTTGCCTAAGGTCATAAAGGAATTTGAGGAGTATGTGAAAAGTACATATCTCAACTATGCCATGTAACTTAGCCTTCTGTTCTTTTCCCTAAACAATATATGGGTTGAACATCCTTAATCTGAAAAACTCAAATCTAAAATTTCCAAAATCTAGAATTTTTTTGCATGCAAACATGACACCAAAAGTGGAAAATTTCACACTTTATCTCATGTGACAGGGCAATAGTTAAAATGCAGTCACCCAACACATAGTTGATTCAAGGGGAAAAAAAGACCATTCTAGTCTCCTTTAGCTGTGATAAAGTAGGATCCTAGTCCCAGATTATCTCATTAGGTGTGTGAACATTCCAAAATCTGAAAAAAGAAAAGATCCAAAATTAAAAACACTTGTAGTACCAAGCACTTCTTTTTCCTTATAGTGCATTATTCTTTTTTTATTAATTATTTTTATTTACTGATTGATTTTACATTTTTTAATACATTCAGTCACATTATTTAGCTTACAAGGTGATCATTTAAACATGTGAACATTTCTCCCCGGTCCAGTTGATCAAAATATAACAGTACTACCTCCCTGTCTCAACAATGCTGTCTCCATATCCCTCCTCCAAATGTTTTTCCCCAGGTCCCACTCCTCCACACACACCACATCTGGCATTCACACCCATCTCTTGTGTTTGTACATCCTTTAGCCCATCAGTTTCAGTTATAGAGTGCGGACACTTGGTATATATTAAGTGGGGACATACAGTGTCTTTCCTTCATAGCCTGGCTTGCTTGGAATACTATTCAGTCAAGCACTTCTGATAGGTGTACTTAACCTGTATGGGGGGACTTTGAAAATTCATGGACTGGTCAATCCCAAAGTGGATCAGTTAAGCTTTGTATAGAAATCTGGATTCCATATGGCCTACCACAATGCCTGATACATGTGCATATGTTCCCAAATTCCTGACAGGATGGAGAAATGGAGGAAAAAGGATTACAGAATGACCATAGCTCATTGGGGAATGTGCCAGCCAGCCAACAAGTGCACACACCCTCTGGCAATTAAATTTTTCCCCAAATAGAGGTAGTAAAAAAGCAAAAAAACAAAGGCAAAGAGAACATCCTAAAATAAATCAGAAGAAAAACAAAACA